CGAAGAAAAACTCGCGCCGGCTACCTGCACCGCCAGCAAAATGCTGGTTTGAGCCAAGACTTGAGCCAGTCTTCCTTCCAGATCATCCTCATCCATACGGGCATCACCGTCCTCATCAACATACATCTCACCAACAGGGCCAGGTTCAGATGGTGCATACTCAGAGTCCGTACCTTGAAAGCCTCGTTCAGGATCATAGCCTAGTTCGGGGTTATTGCCAGGCCTTTGTCCTTCGAATGAGCTCTTCCTCTTCTTCCTCAGCAACTCCAGCTTCTTCAGAGCGAGTCCTCTTGCGATCGCGAGGAACGAACTTGATGGGCCTTTCCGGATCGGCATTATCAAGAATGCTGCGGTCATCACCAGCAATCCCATTCAGCTCATCACCAAGGAAGACAAAACGATCATGTTCAAGGATTCCCCGACACGCGGGAAAAGTCTCCACTTCTCTAGATCCACTCAAACCAACCGGAATAGCCAAGACTCCTCCACCCCGGGCACGGCTCGGCCCAAGGTAAATACAGCTGATAAGCTTACGTCCTCGGTACTTTTTCGAAAGGCGAGGTCCTGCAACCTGACATGCGCACAGGCAGCCAAAGGGCAGAGTCCTAGGTCGGCCGCAAATCTCATCGTGAACTAAATCTATGGGGGTTGCTATGTCCCCTGGGGAACACAGGAACAAGTTGATCGTCCTGGACACGTACAGCAAACACATGCTCCAGAGACGCCCGCCCAAAGGCAGCCTCAACGGTTCCTCCTCATGTCCCTTACGAGAGATCTCAGACTCCATCCCAAGCCAGTTTGACCAAAACGCTTGCTTGACCACAGACACTTGACGTTCCACACCACCTTTAGCCTGAGGCCTATAACCTGGCACAGGATCAACAATAACCCTTTCAACACCAAGTTGTTTACTCTTCGAAGCTAAGTGGTTCCCAAAAGCAAGCAAAAGGTTCTCGTTATCACACCTCAAGGTAATGACACGATTCTCCAGACCAATCTCCTTGATCATGTTTCCAACTGACTCAATAAGATACGGGTCATCTTTCGCATCCTCCTGTGCAGGAATCGCCATAGTGTACCTAGACATTTCATGCATCATCAATAAGACTCGTAGTTTACCAAAGTACAAATAGTCCATGCCAATGGCACTCGACATCTTCTGAGGGTCTTTGATACGACGTGCAGGGCAGCGTCCCTTAGCACACAAACAAGCATCCCAATTGGCAACGTAAGGTTGGTGTCCTTGTGATTGATGGTCACGCAAAGCTTTCGAAGAAAGAGATACAGTACCAGCCTCAGCAGAACCATCATCGACCGGCGGTCCCTCAGCTTGACCATCATCGGGACCTTTCTTTTCATCTTGGGCTGCCGGCTCCATCATAGGGACCTCAGGTGGCCCATCACCAGGAGCACTGGCAGCCGATCCTCCTTTATTCTCAAGGTCAACAACAACAGGCAAGCCACGAAGAAGCGCAACCGCAGGACCAAGGAGCGCACGCACACGACAAACATCATGCTCAACGCGCTCAACTCGACATCCTACATCACGCAAGCCGCAAAGTGAAACGTAGCTACCAAGCTGACCTGAGCTACACAACATGACATATCTTCCTACCAAGTCAGACCGTCCAATCAAGACAGCCGCCACGAAGCAATCGACGACCCCGTCGGCGATATCGTCTCCTGGTTCCTCGAGGAATCTTCACCCAAATGCAAAGAAGGACCAAAGGAAGGAGCAATCCCGAGCAGCATCCGAAGAAACCCAGGAATAAAGCCCCAAGGATATAGAAAGTAGCCATATCCCAAAAACAGAACAGAGCCCTGAAGAACCCCAGAACCCTGAACACAGCTCTCAAGAATTGCCGCAATCCCCCGCATCGCAGGAAGACCTCAGCACAGCTTCGACGAAAAGCTTCCAAGACCATGTCACAATTCATGCGTCCTAAATCTGCGGTCTTTTCTTCTGGAAGACTAGAGCTCCACAGGAACACACCCCTCAGATATCGTCCCAGTCCACCGGAGCAGACGAAGGACGGGGTCCCTCTGATCCCGTTCCGGGATTGGCTTCCCCTGATCCCGTTGCAACAGACGGCCTTGCCGATGGAATTCCTCCCTTGGATTCGAGGATCAACAGATGCGAATACGGCCAGTTTGGCACCTCCTGGCCGAGTGCTTCCATTAATGTGATGGCAGCCTCTAGCTGCCGCAGCAGCCGGGTGTAGTACATCACCGGATACTCCGCGAGAGGAGGAGGAGGAGGGAACGGTGGAGCAACCGGTCCCAGCAACGGAGGTCGTGAAGGCGAAGCTATGGTCAAAGTCGGCGCTGAAGAAGGAGGTGGGGCTCTTGAGATCCCACGCGGGAAACCTCCGGACTGTACCATAGACGGAGAAGGGCCGGGAGGCGACGTCTCCATGGTCCCAGTTGGCGCTGAGGAAGGAAGCGGATTCGCGAAGATTCCCATGGGAGGCGGAATATCTTCCATGTCGATGCCGCCACCGTCGTCGACATTGTTCGGCACCACCGGTGCTGTCGGAACCGGTGGTGGCATTCGGTGTCTTATCTTTGAAATGATATACACCTTGTTTTTGAACGGCAACTCCATCCATCGACGCCCTCCGCTGGCGTTGAGTTCTCTCAATAATGAATGAGATAAAACGCCAAGGACACGTGGCAGTGAGCCACCAGCCCATGCTGATTCCAGAGCGTTCAAAGTAGGAATGCATTCGGCATGGTGCAATGCCTCTGCAGTGGCCATGCACCTTATCAAGCACTTGTACGCTAACACCTCTTCGAGGCTCAGCGGTGATTCGGGGTTTCGAAGAAGGTCCACGACTTCGCCCCGCTGGATTCCACAGAACCAGTAGACCGAGGCGATTTGAAACTGCAATCGCCTCCTTTCGGAGCGCTCGACCAAGTCCTCGGTAAGCGTACCACGTTCCATAAATAGAGGAGCCGCTTCCACAGCCACATTGTGCAGTCGCTGAGGATATGTGGTAGCAGTCACTGCATACTCCCTTCCAAAGATCGTCGGTGTCTCTGGAGGCATAGGGTCGCTGTAGTCGTCCACAGAATCCGGGCCTCCCAGCATTGGATATGCTTGTGGTGTTTCGGCCGCTTCTTCTTCGCCACCGTAAAGCATAGGTATTAGGCGATTCCGAAGCTCCAACCCTCGGCCGGTGAGCCTTCTGCCGCTCGGAGCGAAGAGCTGCAATCGATGCGGAACAGGCTCCGCATACGCAGACTCCGGAGGAGCTGCTTGGCTCACTCCTGACCCTGCCATAGTAGCGTCCGACGCTACGTCGGCAGGTCGCGCTGCCACGCGTCGCCCTACAAAGGTGTAGGGGCCACGCTTTGGCACAGCTCTTAAAATGCCAGCAACGAGGATCCAGCAGTAGCGGCACCTGATGACCTTGCTGTAGGCGCTGGACCATACGGCTGTGACTGGGACGGTGCTATAGCCAGCAGATTCCTCGACGCTTCGAATAGCGTCCTCTGTAGCGAAATCCTCCCCGGTTCGGGCGTTGATGGTACATCCTCTGTGGCACTCGACGCCTCTACAGGCCTATCCTCTGCTCCAACCTCGGTGGCCGTAACCGTCAGATCCTCTGCTGCAACCTCGGTGGCCGTAACAGGCCGATCCTCTGCTGAAGCCTCGGCGGCCGTCGCAGGCCGATCCACTGCTTCTTCCTCGTCCCTCACAAGGACAACTGGGATGTTCAAATACGATGCAGTCCAAATCGCCCAGGAATCGTCTTCCTCCGCCATGTTGCAGAGTATCGCAAGAAAAGCTCGAGGGACACACAGGCTGCTCAAAAGTCGCACAAAGTGTTTGTTCACATCCAGCGGCAATGTCACAGTGCAATGGCGGGTTGCACAAGTCAGTGGCTTTCACTCTGAGTGTCGCACCACACAGAAGAACCGCACACAACACTCTACC